AGATAAAGAAGGACATTCCATACTAATAAAAGGGGAAATAGACCAAAAGGAAATAATAATCATCAACCTGTATGCACCCAATGTCAACGCACCCAATTTCATCAAACATACCCTGAAAGACCTAAAAGCATATATTAACGCCAACACAGTGGTTGTGGGAGACTTTAACACCCCTTATCATCAATAGATAGGTCATCCAAACAAAAAAATAAAGAAATCCAAGATCTAAAATATACAATAGATCAAATGGACCTACTTGATGTCTACAGAACATTTCATCCAACTTCTACACAATATACATTCTTCTCAGCAGCCCATGGAACCTTCTCCAAAATAGATCATATCCTAGGGCACAAAGCAAACCTCAGCAAATATAAGAAAAGAAATTATACTGCATACTATCTGATCACAATGCAGTAAAAGTAGAACTCAACAACAAAAGTAAAGACAAAAAACATGCAAACAGCTGGAAACTAAATAACTCATTACTTTCCAACCTCTACACAATATTTCATTCTTTTCTCAGCAGCCCAATGGAACCTTCTCCAAAATAGATCATATCCTGGGCACAAGCAAGCCTCAGCAAATATAGAAAACAGAAATTATACCGTGCATACTATCTGATCACAATGCAGTAAAAGTAGAACTCAACAAACAAAAGTAAAGACAAAAAACTGCAAACAGCTGGAAAACTAAATAACTCATTACTTAATGAACAATGGATCATGGATGAAATAAAAGAGGAAATTAAAAGTTCCTGGAAGTCAATGAAAATGAAAACACACCTACCAGAACCTATGGACAACACAAAGGCGTCCTGAGAGGAAAGTTTATAGCCATGAGTGCTATATTAAAAAGACTGAAAGATCCCAATCAATGACCTAATGATACATCTCAAACTCCTAGAAAAACAAGAACAAGCAAATCCCAAAACAAATAGAGGAGAGAATAATAAAAATAAGAGCTGAAATCAATGAAATAGAAACCAAAAAAACATACAAAGAATTAATGAAACAAAAAGTTGGTTCTTTGAAAAATAAACAAGATGATAGACCCCTGGCAAACCTGACTAAAATGAGGAGAGAAAAAACCCAAATTAGTAGATCGAGTCTCCCAAAAAGAAAGTCCAGGGCCTGATGGATTCTCTCTGAATTCAATCCAGACTTTTAAAAGAAGAAACTGATACCAACCCATCCTTAAAACTGTGTCCCAAAATCAGAAAGGGGAAGGAAAACTCCTAGCACATTGTATGAGCCAGTATTACACTTACCCAAATCCAGGCAAACACGCTCCAAAAAAGGAGAACTAGTAGGCGCAATCTCCTTAATGAACAATTGAATTGCAAAAATCCTCAACAAAATAATGAAAATACGAACAACACATCAAAAAGATATTCACCACAGACAAGTAGGCTTCTCCCAGGATGCGGGGTGGTTCAACATACGAAAATTCAATAAACGTAATAAACCACATTAACAGAAGCAAGACAAAAACCACTTGATCATCTCAATAGATGCAGAAAAAGCCCTTTGATAAGATCCAACACCATTTCATGATAAAAGCTCTAAGAAAACTAGGAATAGAAGGAAAGTACCTCAACATTATAAAAGCTATATATGACAAACCTACAGCCAGCATTATACTTAACGGAGAAAAACTAAAACCATTCCCTCTAAAATCAGGAACCAGACAAGGATGCCCACTATCTCCACTCCTATTCAACATAGTACTGGAATTCCTAGCCAGAGCAATTAGGCAAGAAGAAGGAATAAAAGGAATACAAATAGGTAAAGAAACTGTCAAAATATCCCTATTTGCAGACGACATGATCCTATACCTTAAAGACCCAAAAAACTCTACTCAGAAGCTTCTAGACATCATCAATAGCTATAGCAGGTAGCAGGATATAAAATCAAATAGAAAAATCATTAGCATTTCTATACACTAACAATGAGCAAACTTGAAAAAGAATGTATGAAAACAATTCCATTTACAATAGCCTCAAAAAAAAATCAAATACCTAGTGTAAACCTAACAAAAGATGTGAAAGACTCTACAAGGAAAACTATACACTTCTGAGATTGAAGAGATGAGGAAGACCCATGCTCATGGATTGGTAGAATCAACATAGTAAAAATGTCGATACTCCCAAAAGTAATCTACATGTTTAATGCAATTCCCATCAAAATTCCAATGACATTCATTAAAGAGATTGAAAAATCTACGTGAATTTATATGGAAACACAAGAGGCCACGAATAGCCAAGGCAATACTCAGTCAAAAGAACAATGCAGGAGGTATCACAATACCTGACTTCAAACTATATTACAAAGCAATAACATAAAAAACAGCATGGTACTGGCACAAAAACAGACATGAAGACCAGTGGAACAGAATAGAGGACCCAGATATGAAGCCACACAACTAAACAACTTGTCTTTGACAAAGGAGCTAAAAATATACGATGGAGAAATAGCAGCCTCTTCAACAAAAAACTGCTGGGAAAACTGGTTAGCAGTCTGCAAAAAACTGAAACTAGATCCATGTATATCACCCTATACCAAGATTAACTCAAAATGGATCAAGGATCTTAATATCAGACCCAAACTCTAAGTTGATACAGGAAGAGTAGGAAATACTCTGGAGTTAGTAGGTATAGGTAAGAACTTTCTCAATGAAACCCCAGCAGCACAGCAACTAAGAATAGCATAGATAAATGGGACCTCATAAAACTAAAAAGCTTCTGTTCATCAAAAGAAATGGTCTCTAAACTGAAGAGAACACCCACAGAGTGGAGAAAATATTTGCCAAGCTTATACATCAGACAAAGGACTGATAACCAGAATATATACAGGGAACTTAAAAAACTAAATTCTCCCAAAACTAATGAACCAATAAAGAAATGGGCAAGTGAACTAAACAGAACTTTCTCAAAAGAAGAAATTCAAATGGCCAGAAACATGAAAAAATGCTCACCATCTCTAGCAATAAAGGAAATGCAAATTAAAACCACACTAAGATTCCACCTCACCCCTGTTAGAATAGCCATCATCAGCACACCAAACAACAGGTGTTGGCGAGGATGTGGGGAAAAAGGAACCCTCTTACACTGTTGGTGGGAATGTAGACTAGTACAACCACTCTGGAAAAAATTTGGAGGCTACTTAAAAAGCTGGACATCGATCTACCATTTGATCCAGCAATACCACTCTTGGGGATATACCCAAAGAGACACAGGTTACTCCAGAGGCACCTGCACACCCATGTTTATTGGCACTATTCACAATAGCCAAGTTATGGAAACAGCCAAGATGCCCCACCACTGACGAATGGATTAAGAAAATGTGGTATCTATACACAATGGAATTTTATGCAGCCATGAAGAAGAACGAAATGTTATCATTCGCTGGTAAATGGATGGAATTGGAGAACATCATTCTGAGTGAGGTTAGCCTGGCCCAAAAGACCAAAAATCGTATGTTCTCCCTCATATGTGGACATTAGATCAAGGGCAAACACAACAAGGGGATTGGACTTGAGCACATGATAAAAGCGAGAGCACACAAGGGAGGGTGAGGATAGGTAAGACACCTAAAAACTAGCTAGCATTTGTTGCCCTTAATGCAGAGAAACTAAAGCAGATACCTTAAAGCAACTGAGGCCAATAGGAAAAGGGGAACCAGGAACTAGAGAAAAGGTTAGATCAAAAAGAATTAACCTAGAAGGTAACACCACACGCACAGGAAATCAATGTGAGTCAATGCCCTGTATAGCTATCCTTATCTCAACCAGCAAAAACCCCTTGTTCCTTCCTATTATTGCTTATACTCTCTCTACAACAAATTAGAGATAAGGGCAAAATAGTTTCTGCTGGTATTGGGGGGGAGCGGGAGGGGAGTGGGTGGTAAGGGAGGGGTGGGAGGGGGGAGAAATGAACCAAGCCTTGTATGCACATATGAATAATAAAGAAAAATGAAAAAAAAAAAAGTGAGACAAGTAGCCAATACAAAAATGCTAAAAAAAAAAAGAAAATTAGTTAGCAATCCACCATACAATAGCAGAAGAAAGGGAAGACACTCTTATAGCCCTAATAAGGCTATTACGTGATCTAGCCCTCTGTTGCCCTAAAATTAACTTCATTAATTTTTCTTCCTGTACTTGCTATGCCCAGACTATATTTTTGTTACTCTTCCCCCAATTCTTCAAACCATGATGGACCAAAATCAGGTTCTAGTTGTTCTCATGACTCCATGTTTATTTCTTTGTATCCATGTTTGTGACGGTTTCTTTTTAGGCTTTTAAGCTCAAGTATTACCTTCCTTAAAAAGCCTTTCTTACCTTTTTCAGTGTCAACATGACCTGAAAGATTTTTACTAGTCTGAAAGTATTCAACCTCCTCGTTGCTCTTTGGCTCAGCAAGATGGGTCAAACCTGTCATACTAGCTACTTGGAAGCAGAGTCAGGATGATTACAGTCAAGCCTTTGAAATTCCAATCTCAATCAATGCCTGAGTGCAGTAGTTTGTGCCTGTCATCCCAGCTGTGTAGGAGGTATAAATGAGAGGATTGCTATTCAGACTGGTAAGCTCTAAAATAAACCCTATCTCAAAAAAAAAAACCAAAAGCAAAAATGGCTGGTGGTGTGGCTCAAGTAATACAGTGCCTACCTAGCAAGCACAAGGCTCAGGCGAAGACAAAAAAAAAGTTGCTCTTGAACTTAATTTGGTTTTGCTTACAATCAGACCTTTCTGAAAATGGGGGAAGGTCAATAAACTATAATGACATCCTATTCTCTGGGGGATGGGGGAGTATTAGGTTTCTCTGAATCTGCTCACCAGGAATTAAAATGCTTTCAATTTAAAATTTAAACATGTGAAATCTTTTTTTTAAAACATCTTGCATTCCATTTTTTGTTCCCTCTGGAAATTAATACTTTGTACTAGTTTTTCTAATCTTATGCTTAACCAGATTTCTTTTAAATTCTGGGATTTCTCTTTTCAGTGGTCAAATGTCCGTTTCCAGTAGTCGAAAATGGAAAACAGGTATCAGGATTTGCAAAGAAGTTTTCCTACAATGCGACTGTTATGTTTGAGTGCAACAAGGGTTATTACTTCTTTAATGACAGTGACATCGCTACTTGTGACAGTAATAGTACCTGGCACCCCTGGCTCCCAAGATGTCTTAAAGGTACAAAGCCTGTCTTTTTCCTTTGTTTAGATTCAACTTCTTTGATGTGAAATGTCAACGAGGCTGAAAAAAAGCAGCAACTTTAGTATGAGCTGCATCTTGTATTCTATGCCAGGTATTTGATGTTAAATTCACATAGAATTCTGCAATGATTTTGTTTCCCTAGGCTTTTTAGTGTGTGGATGTAGATCACAGGAGTACTTCAATTTCTCCTGTTCACCATTGTTATGTGTAAGACGTGGATTGCAACACATTTTTACAGTAAATTGAAGCATGGACATTTTTGATCTAATTAATTCAAGAATGAAAGGCATGAAAGTGAAATGGTTGATTCAGGTTACATTATTTTGTTTTACAGTGCCACCTCCTCCCAGTAAAGAACTTCCAAGTTTTCATTCAGGTTTAGTAATTTCCTGCTTACAATTTTCCAAAAATCTTTTAAATTCCTATGAAAGTGCTTGCAATAACTTACAAGTGTTTGACTCAATCTACATCATGATTTTTTTTTTGCAGTACCAACTCCTCCCAGTACCAAACCTCCAATTTCCACGGTCTCAGGTTTAGTAATTTCCTGGTTATATTTTTCAAAAATCCTTTAAATTCCTGGTGATTTTTTCATATATCCTTTAAATTCCTGGTGACATCTACTCGTTCATCCTTTTTAGTAATAAAAGGAGTCAGAATATTTTTTACAGCCATTTTTTTATACGTAGTGATTCCAGTATTTTAATTGCCATAAAATCTGTACACATGAACAGGAATGTGAACTTGGAAAATTAGGTCAATTTGCAATGGATTTACCCATATGCAAAATGATTCAGTGCCTCCTAACTAGGTGTAAGACTTAAGTGAGATGCATTTAAAACACTTAGTATCTGGTATATGGGAAGTTCCTAAGGTAGCCAGCATGACTTGCATCACTCCTTGAACTAGTATTAGTGAAGAGATCATTAGTGAAGAAGATCATGGCTTCTGTCTACTAATGTTGGTTTTCTTTGTCATCAGCTTTGCTATTTTATTCTTGTTTTTACATGATCTATTGACACCTTTACTGGTTATCTTTCTAGTCAAAGGCTGTTTTGCTTCTCGCTTCTATAATGCAACCAATTCAGCTCTTTATTCAACACATATAAACTGGGACATTTCTACTGTCTCCAGAACAAGACCTGTATTTCTACCTCTTCCCCATTCCCCTTCCCCACCTAAAACAGTTATTTTTTTTCTGTTTGCTAAGCAGTTTTATTTGGCAGCAGAAAATACAGATTTCATAGCAACTGAAAGGCAGGAAAGGTCCTCACCTACTGAAATGAAATGAGGGTTTCTTGCAGGACTACAGACCAAGGGCTTTACTTAAGACTGGAGAGGTCATCTGACATGGTGGAAGGAGTTATCCTCCTGGTTCAATGCTACTATCTCTGGATTCACTTGGTTGCAGCAGAGCAAGAGACAAGAACAGTGGGAAAAGCATTAGCCAGGGCAGACTGTGCACAGGTCCCTGGTGTGGCTCTGCCTAACTCAACTAACATAATTTCTATGGGCTTTATTTTCCCTTTAGTGTAATGAAATCAAACAAAATCTCAATTAACAGTTCTAATTGTTCTTATATTTCCCATGTTCCTGACACCACACACACACACACACACACACACACAGAGTTGCCTCCTGACAGACTTGGACCATGATCCTCTTACCAGCACCTCCTAAGTAGTTGGGATTATAGGCAAGCACTGCTATGCCTGGCCTCTCAATATTTTAAAGGATGGAGAAGAATTATACATACTAGCGGAGTAATTAGAATACTTTCTTATAATTCCTGAATGAACTTGGTACTGGTAGCCTCCTTGAATACCTCAATTGAGTGCTGTGAGGCGGAGGGGATGATGGACTACTTATGAGCAAAACTAAGACAGCATGTGAGATTGTGTTCACATGCTTTAAGTGGGTACATCCACCATAGTGTACTAAGTTTGTTGAGATGCTCTTTTGAAAGAGTTGACGATAGTGTTTCATAAAGAATTTGTGGAATATTGATTTGGCTTAGTGTTTGAAAGATGGAGAAAACTGATAGAAAAAGTTTATAAAGAAGAGAAATAGGGACTTTTAAAAATCAGAAATAAAAATCTGATGGGCTTGTCAATCATTTTTTATCATCAGGTAGAGAAAAAACTAAATCAACTATCAATAGCAACATATATTTGTGTTAAGGTAGATTTAAATGTGTTAATATGAAAATTTTCCAAGAAATATTAAGTAGAAATTACTGAGGCAAATTATATAGTTTATGCTACTGCTGGTTTTCTTAAAAAGATTCATATACTTACCCCAATCACATTACTTTGATGATTTATTAGGAGTTAACGTCTAGGATTTCCATCATAAAATACAACTCTATAGGCAGCACTCTTGCTCATTCATCCTTATATACTTGTGTAAGTGTGTATGTGGTAGAACATGCTCATGCATTAAATTCTTAGAAATAGAGTTGTAAAGTTCAGAAAGCATATTTTTCACTTTGTTACATAATCCTTTTTTAAAAAACATAAGTATCAGAATTAAATCCACAATTTTATACTGATGAGGCTAGTGAATTGATAGACTCGATTTTTTTTCTAGGTCCAAGGCCTACTCATCCCTCCAAGCCTTCAGTTCATAATTATCCAGGTTTGGTAATTCTTTATCTTACTGATAAAGAACTTCATAAGCGATAGATGAAAAATAAGGTCTTATTTTAATTTTCATTTTTTAATTATCAACAAGGCTGAACTTTCTTTGAGCTACATTTTTTTAATTCTTTATTTTTTGAAATGGGCATTATATTGTCCATGCTGTCCTCAAACTCCCGGCCTCAGGCAATCCTCTAGTGCAAGTACACACTGTGCCCTGGGCTCTACATTTATTCATTTCTGTCCTTTGCTCATTTTTCCATTGGGTTTTTAAATATTTCTTGTTAATTTTTGAAAACTCTTACAAATTAAAGCCCTCTTGTATGAAGTGAACATTCCTCCAGGGATTTTTTTTTAATTTGTATTTATCAGTTTTAAGTTTTAGATATAGAATTTTATAAATAACTTTTAATTATATGAGTAGTATACAAATATACTTTTGTGAAATTTCAAACATTACAAAAGAATAGAGTAAAAGATTAGTTATCTTCCTACTCCAGTACTCAAGTTAATCACTGTTAATAGTTTAGGGTTTCATCTATTTCTGTCCATCAACAACCTTGTATGGGTAAGTTACAGTGCACTTTGGCATTGTTTTCTTTTCTTAAACCAAAATTACATCACACTGTCCATATTTCTCTGCAGTGTGTACTTCCTTCCACCTAGAGTTGTGGATTGGGGTTGTGTGGGTTTATTCTCATTCTTTCTAATGGTGACTTGGGTATCACATTTTACTTAACTGTCTTCCTCTTGGTGGTCATTTATATGTTTACAAGTTTTACATTAATAGATGATTAGATGTATTGGTCTTTCTCCTAATGGTTATGAGTTTTGTGTCTTTCTTATAAAAGCTTTAGGTCTTCCCCACACTGTTCTGACTTCATTTTACATTTAAATCCTTGATACATTGGAAATTCATGATGGTTTATGGAATGAGATTGGGTTCACCACCTCATCCACCTTCATCCAGGAATCAAGAGGCTCCATGTACTGGATAAGTGGTTGGAGAAGCTGAGCCCCTTAGAGAAAAGATAACTTACCCAACTTTTTAGCAAACATAACACTGAATTCATAAGTATTCTAACTTCCTTTCTCCTTGGAACTCTGGTCCATTCCTCTGCCGGAATCAAGATTTTTTTTGTTTTTGTTGTTTTTTACTATAGTTCTCTATGTTTTGTTTGAGGTTTCAGGGGGGATTGGAGAAATGGTTTTTGTTTGGGATTTTTTTTTATAATGATCCTGAGGTTTGAACTCAGGGCCTTACACTGCTAGGTAGATGATCTACCATTTGAGCCATATCCAAGTACTCTGTTTTAATGTCTGTCAAAACACTACTTTTAAAAATCTTCCAGACCACTCTCCTGTTAATTTTTCCAAATCAACTTTTTTCCATTTTACCCATATAATTCAGTGCATTAAGTACATGCACATTTTGTGCAACCATCACTGCTATTTCCAGAACCTTTTCATCATTCCTAACCGAAGCTTCGCCTGTTAAACAGTAGCTTTCCATTCTTCCCTCTCCCACCACCTCCCATCTGCTATTCTTTGTGTCTCTGTAACTTTGACTATTTTAGGTGTTTCTTATATAAGTGGATTCATACAATTATTTGTCCTTTTTCTGTCTTTATTTCACTTATGTTATTTTCAAGGTTCATCTGTCTTGTGTGATGTGTCAGGACTCTATTCCTTTTTATGGCTGAATAATATTCCTGTATGTGTGTATACCTCATTTTATTTACCTACTCATCTGTTGATAGATGTTTGGATTGGGTTGTTTCTACCTTTTGGCTATTCTGAGTAATGCCATTTGAATGTGGATGTTCAGATAGATACCTGTTCAAAATCTCTATTTTCAGTTCTTTTGGATATATACTGAGTAGAATTGCTAGGTCTTAGGAGGATTCTATTTTACTTCTTGATGTACTGCCTTCCATAGCAGTTGTGCTTCTATAAAGGAATACTACAGATAAGGTCATTTATAATGAACAGTTATTTCTCACAGTTTTGGAGGCTGAGTAGTGTAATATCGAGGTGCTGGCATTTAGCAGGGGTTCTCTTGCTGCATTGTAGCATGGTGGGAGGATCACAAAGCAGGAGGCATCCCATGGCAGGAGGCCAAATGGAGGAAAGAAAGTGTGGAAGCAAGGAGGACAAACCCACTCCTAGATAACCAACCCACTCCTGAAGTAGTGACATGAGTACACTGGTGCCCTCATGGTGTAAACACCTTGAAAACTCTCAGCCTCCCAGGACCATTACTTTGGCAATTAAATTTCAACATGAGTTTTAGTAAAAACTCATTGGGGTTTTAATTTGCTTTTTTCTAACAATTGGAGACGTGTTAAGTATCTTTTCATGCTCTTGTTGATCATTTGTATATTTTCTTTAGAGGAATAGCTATTCAAGTCCTTGACCCATTTTCAAATTGGGTTATATTGTTACTGAATGTTGAGTACTTTGTATGTTCTAAGTATCTTTTGTCAAATATACGATGTACAAATATTTCCTCTCATTTTGTGGGCTTCCTTTTCACTCTATTATTGTCCTTTGGTGCACAAATGTTTTTAATTTTGATGAAATTCAATTTATTTTTGTTGTCATTGTTGCCTGTATTTTTGCTGTCAACATCTAAGAAGTCATTGCCAGATGCAATGTCATGAAGTGTTTCCCCTGTTTTCTTTTCTAAAAGTTTTATAGTTTTAGATATTATGTTTAGGTATTTGATCAATTTTGAGTTTTTATTACATTGTAAGGGTTCAACTTCATTCTTTTGCCTGTGGGTAACCAGCTTTCCCAATGCCTTTTGTTGAAGAGAATACCTTTCCCCATCGACTGTTCTTGGCATCCTGTTGAAATCATTTGACTATAGATGTAAGGCTGTATTTCTGGTCTTTATTATATTCCATTAGTCTGTAAGTCTGTCTTTATATGGGTCCTATCTGTTTTGATTATTGTTGCTTTATAGTAAGTTTTGAAATCAAGAAGTACGAGTCTTCTCCACTTTGCTCTCTTTGAAAATTGGTTTAGCTATTCAGTCTCTCATGAGATTTCATACTCATTTTAGGATGAATTTTAGCATCATCAAGATTTTGATAGGAGTTGTGCTGAGTCTGTAGATTGCTTTGTGTGTTATGGAAAGCTTAAAAATAATAAATCTGTTTATAAACACACGATATCTGTGTTTGTTTTTCAACTCTGTAACAAAATGTCTGACAGAAGCAATTTAAGAGGAGGAAAGATTTCTTTTGGGTTAGTTTCAGAGGTTTCAGTCTATGCTTGGCTGGCTCCATTGCTTTGGGCCTGTGGTAAAGAAGAACATTATGGCAGCCAAGAGATTGTGGCAGAGGAGGCTGTGCATCTCATGGTGTCCAGGAAGCAGAGAGAGAGAGAGAGAGAGAGGGAGGGAGAGAGAGAGAGGCAGGAAGGGATCTAGAACAAGTATACCCTTTAAAGGCATACCCCCAGTGACCAACTTCCTCCAACCAGGTCCCACCTCCTAGTTTCTACTACCTCCCAATAATGCCATGAAGTTATGAATGCAATGGATTAATCCACTGGTTAGGTCAGAGTCCTCATGATCCACTCACATCTCATTCACTGACTCCTCTAGTTGAGGATCAAGCCTTCAACACATGAGCCTTTTGGGGGACACTTCATATTCCAAACCACAGCAGTGTCTTGCCATTTATTTATGTCTCCTTTAATCCTTTTCAGCAGTGTTTTGTAGTCAGTGTATTGGTCTCTTGCCAACTTGGTTATGCTTGTTCTTTTTGATGCTCTTGTAAAATGGAATTGTTTCCTTGATTTCTGGTTTGAATTATTCATTGTTCTTGTATAGAAATATAACTGATTTCTGAGTGTTGGTTTAGTATCCTGCAACTTTATTGAGCTCACCTGTCAACTCTCATAGGTTTTTATATGTGTGGTGTATGTGGAATCCTTAAGGTTTTCAAGCACTCTATCATTTGAGCCATGCCCCTTGCCCACCCTTAAGGTTTTCTACATAAAAGATCATATCATCAATAAACAGAAATCATTTTATTTCTCCTTTCCAATGTGAATTTCCTTTATTTCTTTTTCTTACCTAATTGCTATAACTAGAACCTCTTATACTGTGTTGAGTGAAAACTGCAAACGTGGGTACCCAGTCTTGTTTCTGATCATAAGAGGAAGAGATTTCATTTGTTCATCACTGAGTATGACATTGCCTGTAGGTTTTGATATATGGCCTTTATTTTGTTGAGGAAGTTTCCTTCTGTTCCAGACTGACTTCTAAAGCATTTACTGAGCTTTCATTTATCTTTCAATTTTAATTCTGTCTTCCTTTATCTTTCAATTTTATTTTATTTATCTTTCAATTTTAATTTTAGAATCAGTCAATTTTAGATTCAATTTTAGAATCACACTGAATTCACAGACTGATTTTGAGAATATACTAAAAATAAATTTGTATGCTAGCCACACAATATTATCACAGAGAATGTTAATGGACAGGAAGATGAAAGCTAATAATATTGAATACAGACTTATAGAATTTTATGATACTACTTTAAATATGACAGTAATACAGAAAAATTAAAATGTAAGGGATTTTTTACAAAGATGAAAGAGTCAACCTACGAATTTAAAGGATTTTAAGCTTTATTTATTCTTTTATTTTATTTTTTATTTTATTTTACCTAATTAATTTTTCTTCTTTTTTTCCAGGATATCCCAATCCCCGTGAAGGACTATTTGACCAAGAATTAGGTTATTATTTTGGTTATTAACAACTATGAAACCTTATTTTTACATGGAAACATCATACATTTCAATTATGCAGTTAAAGGAGGAAACAACATGTCAAATTATTAGTAATAATTGACATTTATGGTGCTGATTGTGCAGATACCATGACAAATATATGTAATAGTATGTATAGAAACATGTAAGTACAGTTTTATAGAGGTGCCTCAACAGGAAGGCTCACAGGTCAAGGTAACTTTCTTTTTCATATCTTTTCTGGGATTTGAACTTGGGGGTTTTGTGCTTGCTAGGCAGGCATTCTACTACTTGAGCCTTGAGTTTCTTAAGTTACTTGGCAACTTAAGTGCTATTGTTATAGAAAGGTTAAAATATATAAAACAATTTTCTCTCCATATGGTGTTATTTTGAGATGGCAGTTTGCACACTAATTCTCTTCCCACTCATATCTTTTATACACAGATCTGAAATCACTGTGAGTTAATTTTTCCTGTGAAAGGCTAGTTTAATACATTTTATTTAGGCTTATACATTTGACACAATACATATTAAGTAAAATAAAGTATCGTCATAACAGTTAAAATTCAGTGAAACCAAAAGATTTCTTGAATAAAAGAAGAGAAAAATTTTTCATTGATTAGACTAGTTCAGTAATGGTTAAACTTTTTTTTTAAAAAATTCAATTTGGCTTATTTTTTAGCGCAGGTGTCTTGGGAAGTTGGTTCCAGGATCCCCCCCAGAGACCAAAATCTATAAACTCTCAAGTCCCTTGTATAAAATGGTATATTTACATGTAACCTAAGCAGTTTCCCCATATACCATAAGTCATCTCTAGATTACTTACAATACCTAATATGATATAAATACTATGTAAATAGTTATTATATTATTTAGGGAATAATGACAAGAAAACCTGTTCAGCACAGATAAAATTTTTTCCCCAAATATTTTAAATCTGCAGTTGGTTGAATCCATGGATTCAGAACCTGTGGATACAAAGTGCTGACTACATAGTTGCTCCTCAACTTACAGTGGGTTAAATCCTGACGAACCCAGATTAAATGTAAAATATCCTAAGATGAAAATGCATTTGATCCACCTGACCTTTGGAACACCATAGTTTAGTAACGTATTGGTTTTTTACCGTGTGACTGAAGGGCTCACTGGGAGCAAGGGCTCCTTGCTGCCTCCTAGCTTCTCGAGACAGTATCATACTATTTCTACCCCAGGAAAAGATCCAAATTCAAAGTTCAAAGTATGGTTTCTACTGGACACCCAACACCGTGAGCTCAGGAAATCCTAAGTCGAGCCATCGCAAGTTGGGGACGTCTGTATATACTGTAGCTTCAGATTCTGAGGTCCAGCTGCCATTGTGCCAGTAAACCCAGTGCTTTCTTAACTGTTGTATAATTGATACCTGTTTGTGAAACAAGAAGAATAGAACGTAACACTTTATGCTTTGACTGACAGCAGTTTAATAAAAATGACAGTTTAGAAGCATCAGTAATACTAACAGAAACACATCTAAAAATTAAGTGCTCTCTGAATAGTCAAATATGCATGTCCAGATTTCTCTGTGTAATTTTTATCTCTATGCTCTGGAACTTCATTTACATTTTTAAGGGACTCCCCTTGATATTTAGGACTTATCCCATAGCCTTCTGCATACTAGGCAAGAGCACGTCCACTGAACTAAATCTCCAGCCCAAGATTGTCTTTATTTTGGGATATGGCTATGAGGAAGTAGGAAGGGTAGGAAAGGGCTTGAATTAAGATAAAGTATTATTTGTGAAGACTCTATAAATAACATCTGTGTGATCAGTTAGTAGAAATATGATCTATTCTACAGATCCACTTCCTAGGAAAAATGTTTTAAATTTCTTCCAACATGACAGTATAAATAATACTGAATTAAACCAACTATAAGAGGAAAATCGTTTTTTAAAAATATATTTTCCTCTGATCTCTAGTGATTCTCATTGTTTTATAATAATCTTAACTAAATAACTTGATGGGCAGCTACAGAATAAAATACTGAAAAAGTGAAGTTCACAGGTTTGACCCTAAACCTGGAAACTGGTTTAGAAGGGTCCTGTGATCAAAATAACTTGGATATATTAGTAGTCATGCTAAAACTAGACAGAGAAAACTTTTTTGCCCTACTGTTTAGAAGATCTGAACTAAACCAATGTATCCACTGTCTGGAGACACATACATGCTCAGCATCTTTTATTTTTATTTTTTCTTAGATGCATGGATCATTGCTTTGATTATCATTATTGCAAGTAAGTACCCCAAATTTTGACACTGCTTCAATCAAAATATTACTGTAAAGAAGTGCATTTTTTAAAAATAGTTTTTCAGGTTATAGTTTTTATAGAAACTTGAGATTAAGTAAACCAATTTAGAAAAACCTGACCTTTTATATGATACACTACTGGTGATTTTTAGATTCTTCCATATTCTATGTTATCTACTTAGAAATAACCCTAAATTTGCCTGGCCTGGCCTCGAACCTTGATCCTCCTGATCTCAGCCTCCCAGGGTAGCTAGGATTACAGGCATGAGCCACCAGCACCCAGCATTAATACCTGATTTTTTTTTTCATTTTTCTTTTATTATTCATATGTGCATACAAGGCTTGGTTCATTTCTCCCCCCTGCCCCCACCCCCTCCCTTACCACCCACTCCGCCCCCTCCCTCTACCCCCCCCCCAATACCCAGCAGAAACTTTTGCCCTTATTTCTAATTTTGTTGTAGAGAGAGTATAAGCAATAATAGGAAGGAACAATTGTTTTTGCTGGTTGAGATAAGGATAGCTATACAGGGCATTGACTCACATTGATTTCCTGTGCGTGGGTGTTACCTTCTAGGTTAATTCTTTTTGATCTAACCTTTTCTCTAGTACCTGTTCCCCTTTTCCTATTGGCCTCAGTTGCTTTAAGGTATCTGCTTTAGTTTCTCTGCGTTAAGGGCAACAAATGCTAGCTAGTTTTTTAGGTGTCTTACCTATCCTCACCCCTTCCTTGTGTGCTCTCGCTTTTATCATGTGCTCATAGTCCAATCCCTTGTTGTGTTTGCCCTTGATCTAATGTCCACATACGAGGGAGAACATACGATTTTTGGTCTTTTGGGCCAGGCTAACCTCACTCAGAATGATGTTCTCCAATTCCATCCATTTACCAGCGAATGATAACATTTCGTTCTTCTTCATGGCTGCATAAAATTCCATTGTGTATAGATACCACATTTTCTTAATCCATTCGTCAGTGGTGGGGCATCTTGGCTGTTTCCATAACTTGGCTATTGTGAATAGTGCCACAATAAACATGGATGTGCAGGTGCCTCTGGAGTAACAGTCTTTTGGGTATATCCCCAAGAGTGGTAATACCTGATTTATTAAGATAGATGAGTTTGCTCCCCAAATGTGCTTTTGATAATTTTCCAACTTAAATTAAGACTCCTCTCTGACTTCTTGTGGACTGTGTAATTTAGGGAGTTGGATTTAACTGATGAAGAGTGGAGATGGAATATAAATGTTTAAGTGCTTAAATGAAATACCATTTTCTTACTGCTGAAATATAGCCAACATTTATTTCTTCTACTTAGATTCTAGTCTTCGTAATTGGTTTCCAGATTATTATTTGAGATGTTGTTTCTTTCCTGGTTTCTTACAGTTGTTGCAGTTGCTGTAATGTGTCTCTTCCTGTACAGATTTTTCGAAAACAGGAAGAAAGGGTAAGTGATAGCACATTTCTTCTAACTTATTGGTCTTTATCCTCAACATTGCTTTTGTCCAGCCTCTTTGTACTCCATATTACATGCCGCCTTTGATTTTTTGTTTTGCTTTTTGTACTGGGGACTGAACCCAGGGCCTCACCATTTAAGCTACATGCCATGTTTTTTAAAGTGTGCCTGCATTAGTGTGTCCTACAAAATACGTTTCTTTGCTAAAAATATTTTCATCTACTTTTAACATCATTGCAACATGAGGACTCTGTGCAGTTGCTTTAGTAGCTGTTGTGATTCTAAGCAAAGTTTCTGTGGGACTTGAGGTTTAAGCTCCTGAGTGAACATGAACTGTTCTGAGGCCTTCTCTCTTTCTCTGCCCTAGGTAGATTCTCTTATTTTCTAAATGCAACAAGTGGCCCAAATTAGAGTATTTCACACTGACAGTTGTATTCACTAGAATTTTTATGAGGAAAATTTCTATTTACCTGAATAACTTAGCTGGTTGTAAGAAGCTATGCAAGCCAATTTAATTTCTCATTTAGAGTTTTTATGTCAAACTGGAGAGTTAAGAACAGCACTCTTTGATTTCTGTTATGTTCTCTTAATTTTCTAGACTGCAGAGTAAAGAAGGCAGTAACGTTGCTGAGGGAGCTAACTTTCACAAGGGTACCAGCCAGCAGTCAGTTCATTAGCGTACAAAAAGACATCACTTTGAAGATGGCAAAGATTTTTAAGAGTTGTATACCAGGAAACAGTGATGAAGACAAAATGTGTATTTCACAGTATCACATTGCCTTGGAAACTTATTTCTACAAGACTATAAAATGCATGGAGACACTCCTCCATTTCTAGGGGTAACTGAAAGCAGGGTTAACAGGCGCAGGTATTCTCAAACAGCTGTTAAAACTTGGTACAAAATGGATTTAATGTAAACTGGTATTTACGATAATTTAGAGACAATTACCCTTCCGCAGCCTCCATTTCAAAGTACAAAAATTGGTTAAGCAGTCATTTTAAAAGCATTCAACATCAATTAGTTGATGAAAAGTAGCCAAAAGGTTAAAGTACTCTGCTAGTTTTGTATTTCTTGGTTCTCAGCTAAGAATCTGATGGGATTGACGTTGGTTGGCATCAAGTTCCATCCACAGGCTCCTTCCTTTTCTTTCCAGTTTCTTTTCCTAATTCTTCTACCATACTTTCTAGTCATGAAAGCCACAGCCCTTGCCCTGTCTTGCTACAGCTTAACTCCCATCTTGTAAGTCTGTGTGGTTCTAAATCACAGATGTCTTTTGTTTACATAAATGTTTTATTTACATAAATGTTTACTGGTGAATTTTTTTTCATAAGTGCGTATGTTTCTTTACTTTGGTTAAATCATCCCTGGATAGGTGAAAGTTACTTAAGTTAATGACAATTATTTGCATGATTCAAATTTTAATGATCTGTGACAAAAGTTTTTCCCCATTAATGATATTTACTTTGGCATAACTTAAATCTACTTTTAATGTTACATTCTTATTACCTGACTCAATTATTTTTATCAATTTTAAGCTGTCTGTGCTAAAATGAAACATTTGTAAGCACAAACAGCTTGAAAATTATGATCAGCTGTGGACTACAATGACCTTCAAGAATCAAATTAACTTGAACTTTTTTTCCTAATTGGCTCTCAAACTTTTGAACATTCAACAAACCTTTCTAAAACTGAACCAAACTATACATAGCAAAATACTGTGTGATTAGTTTAGAAAGCATATTATAAAATGAAATTAGAGCCATCCCAGAAATTTGGGAGGTCATGTAATTTTTTATAAGAATCTTTCCTCAAGCTAAAAAGTGTGCCACTGAAAGAAACTCTACTTGATACAGAAGATGCATCTAGAAATACTTGACTTGTCATAAAATTGATTCTAAGACAATGATGACATGGATTTAATATATACTGTTTATTCTCTCAAAATTGAAGGTGCTATAAAAGACGACCATGTCTCCTCACATAGTGTTATTTGCTGAATTTTTACATGACTTGCTTTGTGAAAAATGGCTTCAAACATAAACATATTGAACAGAAATTTAGAGTCTGTTCATCTGCTGGGTGATGTATATACAACTTCAAATTTAACTTCTTGCACAAAATTCATGTCAGGTCCCTAAGTAAGACTCACAAAGCCTTAATATATGAACCCAATGTTCATCCTTATCTCCATTCTCCTTCTGTCATTGATTTATCCCAGGTGTGATACTATTCTTGCTTCTTTTTCATTTTATTCAGCCCTTTTCCCTTCCTCTGTTCAGCACATACCTAATAGATGAGAGCCACAGAGAAGTAAATTATATTTCTCTCTGAGAAGAAATGAGAGAAAGGTTGGCTTCTGTCATTAAAAGGTATCTGCTTTCTGTTGTATTTCTTTGCAACAATGTCTTTGTTTTGAAAAATACTCAGTGGATATCTAGGTATCAGTGACCTGAGCTAAGATATGTTGGCAGTAAAGATCAAAGAGGTAACTTAGATTCCTGTTCTGCTAAATTATTGATGTTTTCTTATAACATTCCTTTTTTAAAATTTAACTTTATGTGTACTGACAGGATTTTGCTTTGATGGAGGCTTAAATAGAGTTATGTTCCCTCCCCTTGTCATTTTATCAGACTGTGTGGGTGCCTCTACTTCCAGAACAGCTGTGAACCCACATATAAGGGCATTTTTGAGCCCAGAGGGAAGTAATGAGCAGACCCAGCTCATTTTAAGTGCACCATGGGAAAAAAAAGAATGCCCTTTTACAGAAACAAAAATATTATTTTACTTAATTTTGTAAATGTATCCAATTCCAATTTGTTAAGTAACTCTCTGAAGGAATTTATCTGTTCCTCTGAACCAGAATATATTTGACATATTAAAGAAAAATAAAACATTCTCAGAGTTTGAAAAATTATGAATTATGTTGTCTTAAACCTTTGACCCCATCCACCATTCTGTCTTTGGATTGAAATAAATTAAGTGTTTATTTGTGCTAGAACATATGTCTGCATGGCTGGAAGAAAGGGAAATAGGTAGCTTGACTTTTACAATAAAAACTCCCTCCTCTAGTTTATAATCAAGAGTTTGGGAACAGGAATCTGTCTACATAGACCAATGGGAAGGACAGTTTCTTGGTAAAAGCAAAATGGCATCTTTGATTACAGGGACACAGGAAAGAGAAAACATGTCAACTAGAACTGGCACCCTAGGCCTATCCAGTTCTATATACCTTCTTAGTCTCATATGGTACTTTTTTTTTCCATAGGATACTTTTGAGGCTAAAGCAAACTAGGAAAGTAGTTTTCAGACTCTGAGCTTCAAAGTGTCTGTAAACATTTGAAGATAACTTAATGAGTGCTGAAGTTAATATAAAATACCTGTACTTAGTAATTCAGTTTCAAATTTTTATTATCTTCAAAATAGCTTTGATATTTCAAATGTTTCTTTAAGCTGATGTAACTGAGGCTTTTTATCTTAAATATTAGATTTCTTTTTAAAATTCTATTTAAAGAAAAAGATTCTACCATAGAAAAAGAAAGAGAAAAAAGTAGCCATTTTGGAGAAATCAGTGACAGGCCAAACTATTAAATGACTCACCACAGCAGTCCTTCCAGAACTGCTGTATTATACATACAGTATTGTGACAGGGACAGATCTTAGTGACATCCCACCTCACAAAGAGGAAGAAAAGGAACACTTTTAGCTGTTATACTGTATAGGCATCCCTGAAGAGTTTGCTGTGACACACATACTGATAAATGACTGGCTGCTCCAAATTTGCTTTTAGACCATCTATTATAGTCAGTTTACGAAGGCAGGACCTCAAGTTGTACTGTCCCAGTTCAAGAGTAAGTAGCCATGTGTGGCTACTGGGGACCTCAGAGGTAGCTAGTCCAATAGAGATGTGCTCTAAGTATAAAATATGCACTAGATTTCAAAGACATAATAAACAAAAGTGAAACACATGTCAAAATGCATTCACAATATTTGCCTATAGTGAGTTAAATAAAATAGTATTATAATTAATTTTGAGCCCATCATGCACACCTATAATCCCAGCACTTGGGGGCAGAAGCAGGAGGATCATGAGTTCAAAGGTAGTCTGGGCTACGCAGTAAGACCCTGTCTCAAAAATAATAAATAAAATTTCCTGTTCTACTTCTGTGGCCTCTAGAAAATGACCTGTGTGACTGGCATTTTCTCCTGGTGGTCAGGTTCAGACTAGAATAGGTTTTACAACTTCGTCTGCTGTTACAGTGTGTGATGTAAACTGTACTCAGAAGGATGTATGATCTTGATAGTGAGGGATAAAGGAGGCCTCCCTGTACCCGAACACTGTTAGAATCACTACCGTTTTCAAAGTTTCATCTCAGAGCAACAGACTCAAGATAGTGATAGCTTCTCAGCCTTCGGCTAAGATCAAGCTTAGTATCAAACTTGTAAGGTTAGGGAAACATGTTTCTGTCCAATCTTTCCCACTGGCCCTAAATCAAAACACGGAATATTCACCAAGTTACTTACGTGCTAGTGCTCTATTCCTTGTTTTGGAGGGGACTAAAAATGTAATATAGGAGTAGAAGAGGGTAAGACTAGTTGGACACTTAAAACAATCATGTTTTCTAGTTTGAAGACTCTTAATGCTATAAAGTTTTTGATTATCTACTTTCAGCCTTGGGGTACAGTTGCCTAGCATTCATTCTTAAGGCCCTGGGTTCAATCCCCAGCACTGCAAGAAAAAAAAATGTCTTCTAAGTGGGCTTCTGGAATTAATATCTGTACCTAATTATAATTTTCTTTGACACTATCTTTATACCTTGTCTTGTAGGAAAACAGAGGTTAGAGTTCAATACACCACTTGCCAGAAAAAGTCATCTATTTCAGCTGAGCAAATTGCGTGATTTCCACAAACCTGCGTGTCCATTTATTTTTTGACTGTCAAAAGCTTCCAGTCTACAATAATTATTCACTGCTCTCACTGACAGATTGTTAA